TCATGCTTTAACTAGAGAATCCTAGGAATTTAGATCCAGCAATATATTTGGAAAGGTGTGGGGAAAATTAACTTGAAAACCCACACCTCAGTTGGCTCAGAGGGGATGTGTGAATGTAGAATCTGGGAAAAGAGTTTAATATGTTTTTAAAAACTGTCTGCTAAATGATATCAGATAATGTATGCATTGATGATGTGAAGCACCTGTTAGCTTAATTTCAAAAGCAATAATGGTCCAAGATCGGTAATCTTATGACAAATTAACTATAAGACTCTTGTCAGGACTGACCTAATTGGATGTGAGTATGCCTGAATGCCAGATTCCAGTATAGATTCACAAAAACAGCCTGGAAATGTGCCGGGGTGGAGGACTCACGGGGTGAAACTAAGATGGCAGAAGAATAAAGCAAGAATTATATATTGCTATGTTTTGAATGTTTTATTCTCACCAAATTCAAATATTGGAATCTGAGACCCAATGCAATAGTATCAAGAGAAGAGCCTTGCTGAGGCTGGTGGGTCACCTGAGGTCGGTAGTTCAAGACCAGCCTGACCAACACGGTGAAACCACATCTCTACTAAAAAAAAAAAAAATACAAAATTAGCTGGGTGTGGTGGCATGCGCCTGTCATCCCAGCTACTAGGGAGACTGAGGCAGGAGAATCACTTAAACACAGGAGATGGAGGCTGCGGTGAGCCAAGATTGCACCATTGCACTCCAGCCTGGGCAACAAGAGCAAAACTCCATCTCAAAAAAAAAGAGAGAGAGATGAGCCTTTAGGAGGTGATTAAGTTTTGAGGGCTGTGCCCTCATGAAGGGATTAGTACCCTTATAAAAGGGCTTGAGGGAACTAGCTAGCCCTTTGTTGCCCTTCCACCTTCTGCCATGTGAGGACGCAGCAAGAAGGTGCTGTCTTAGAAACAGAGCAGTCCTCACCAGACAATGAATTTGCCAGCACGTTGATCTTGGGTTTCTCAGCCTCCAGAGCTGTAAGCAATAAATTTCTGTCTTTTATAAATTACCCAGGCTCTGGCATTTTGGTAGAACAGTACAAAAGAACTAAGACATATATCAAAGTTTGCAGGAGATTCTAAATATCAAAAGATAATTTGTCTTGTTTCAAGTCCTCCAAGAAGCAAGACACCAAGAAAGAATGAGATGGGTAGGAGATTTTTTTGGGGGAAATGTCTGTGAAGAATAAAGGAGAGAGGGAGCAAGAGTAGGGGCGGTATCACAAAATACAAGTTTGACTTGTGCAAAGAGAGAAGAAAGGAAGGAGGATCTTGTGGAAAGAGCCCTTGACTACAGTGTAACCAGGCCAATGGCAAGTGTGCCCTAGCATGGAACGTTTATTATAGCAGTCACGCACTGGAGAGCAATGGCCTAGTGCTAGTGTCCTCACTGTTCTCTGTCATTAGCCAGGAGCAGCCTGGGGACAGCGTGGCTTTAGCACAAATGCTGTGCCAGGTTAGAACATGCAGCAGCTAGATGTCGTCAGCCAGCTGTGTTCCTCACAGCAGGTTTTTGGAAGGGACATCTTGTTGGCACACCACATGGCTGCTACGACTTAACATGGACACAGATACATGTTCCCACACATGTTCATAGGGCAGTCCTCCATGGCTCCTTTGAGCCTTTCTTCCTGAGAGGAAAGTTCTAACAGGGAGGTTAGCAGCACAAACGACACCCCTAGAAGCTGCAGCTGATCTCAGAACCGTAACTGGTATTCATTGTCTCCCTCCTCCACTATTCTTTCTAAATCTCTCTCTCGATCACCTCTGGCTTTCCTGGTGGCTTACCCGGTGGTATGATCCAAACTCCCATGCCTGAAGGACCTGATTCCTTGGTCATCACACCTTCTCAGGCTAATATATCCATTCATGTGTCTATTCATAATGATAACTGGGCAATGCAGCACCAAGAGGTGCCCAAGCAGATTGTGTTGTGGAAACACAGCCCTACTTCCTCCTGCTTCCCTGAGTCTATTACCCTCACAAAGATTGTCACTTCTCTTTCCTGCTTGTCTCTGGACACAAGGAGTCCAAAATGCTCTGGGAGCTGCCATAGTTGTGGTTAAGTGGGACCTGTCCCATCCCACTGGCAAGAGTGTGCATCTTTGGGGATGACAGCCTCACCCCCTCTGAGCTCAGAGTTGTGGGGACAGGAAGCAAAATGTTCTCCAGTAGGTCATTGAGAGTGATGATAAGTGGGTCACAGCTGCTTCTACTCTCCGCTTCCTATACTCATGTATTCTTTCACTTGGAGACTCAGTGTCAGATGGAGGTCTCTGGTTTAATGCAAATACTGCACCCTGAATAATGTCACCCCACCTGTCTCAGTCTGTTTTGTGTTGCTATGACAGAATACATGAGTCTAGGTAATTTTGAAAGAAAAGAGGTTTATTTGACTCATGGTTCTGGTGCTGGGAGGTTGAAGACTGGGCAGCTGCATCTGGTGAGGGCCTCAGACTGCTGCAACTCATGGCAGAACACGGAAGGGGAGTGGGCATGTTCAAAGAGATCACATGGTAAGAGAGGAAGCAGGAGACAGAAACCGAGGAAGAAAGACTTCTTTAACAACCCACTCTCAGGAAGTAATCCATTCCCTCAAGAGCAAGAACTCACTCACCCTTAAGGGAGGGTATTAATCTATTCACAAGCTATCTGCCCCTATGACCCAAACCCCTTCCACGAGTCCCCACCTCTGCCACGTTAGAGATCCAATTTCAACATGGGTTTTGATGGGGACAAACCACATCCAAACCATAGCACTATCCTTCAGATTGTTGTCTGAGTTGGTTCTTCAGCTGGGCTTCAGTGGACCCTTCCAACACTTGATCCAGCTGGCTACTTTGGGATGGTGAAGGATCAGTGGATTCCATGGACAAGAGCTTACTCTTGCACCTTCTTCACTTTAAAGCGGCTTCCCTGGTCAAATGGCATGTTGTATGGAATTCTGTGCCTGTGAATCATGTATTCTATGCACCATTGGATAATAATGCTGGCTGCGGCTCTTCAGGCAGAAAAGGCAAACCCAGATCTAGTGTATATCACTCTGAGCATGAACTACTGGCTTTTCTAGGACAGAAGAGCTCAATAGCACCAAATAGCTATGGGTCTTCTTGAGGAATAGTGCGATATCAGCCTTTGTGTTGGTTTATGTTGCTGATAGATTGCATATCCTGAGGCGGAAGTAGTTAGACTCACGTAAGTAAAGAAGGATTCGTTTACAGGGCCCATCTTTGCCACCACAGCCATTCCATTCATGTGTTCATTGTTGCAATTCTGGAATGGCCATCGATGATGGCTAGCTCACGTCAACTGGCCGAGTCATTTTGACTATTTGGTTTTTCAGTGCCTTTTCCAAGATGGATGCTCTCTAGGGGCATTAACATGTAACACAAAATAATCTTCTCGCTTTATGTCAACTCCCTATGTCTATCCACATGCTTCTGTGGCAGACTTCCTCGTCTCTCATCTTCCAGTGGTAGGAGTGCTTGAACTGCAGCCTGAGCCTTCACAGCTCTTTTTTGCTCCAATTTCTACCCAAAGCTGGCTGCCTTCCATATCACCCAGTTTACAGGCTGAAGCTATATTAGTTCCAATATTAAGTGTGGACAGGGTTGCTTCCAGAACCCAGAGAAGTCCAAGAGGTGTTGTTTCCTTATTCTTAGTAGGAGACATAAGATGCAGCAACTTGTCTTTTACTTTGGAGGAGAAGTCCTGGGCCTGGCCCTGGTTTCTGAACTCTTAAAAACTTTACTGAAGTGGTAGGTCCCTGGTTCTATAGCGGTCTTATCTCCTGCCTTCTAGAGCTCATGTACCTTCCCAAGGCCTCCAACATACAAGACACTTCTTGCTAGTCCTGCCAGATCGGCATTATATCATGGATATATTGGATCAATGTGATGCTACAGACACTTTAAACTAGATGATGAAAGAGGGCAACATGAACATAGTCTGGTGGACAAAACTGTAAATTAATCTTGTTGTCCACTTCATGCCAGTGTGAATTGTTTTGGATCCTCTTTTCTGATTGGAATAGATAAGAATACAATTGCCAAATCAGTGGCAGCATACTCTAAAACTGAGGCCTGACGGATTTACCATCAACATCATGTCTCACACAGCAACTATGATTGGAACTACTACTTGGTTGAACATGTGGAAATGTATAGTCATTCTCCAGAATCCATGTGGTTTCTATAGATGTCAGATTGGAGATTTCAGTGAAGTTAATGGAGATATGATTGGGACCACCCCATCCTTTATATCCTTAATGGTGGTTGGATTAGTCAGGGTTCTCCAGAGCAACAAAACCAATAAAGGATGTATGTGTGTGTGTATGTGTGTGGGGAGAGAGAGAGAGAGAGAAAGAGAGAGAGAGAGAGAGAGAGAGAGAGAGAGAGGTTTTAAGGAATTGGCCCATATGATTGATTTTAGAAGCTTGATAAACCCAAAATCTGATGAGGGAGGCTGGCAGGCTGGAGATCCAGGAAAGAGTCCCAGTTCAAGTCTGAAGGCAGTCTGCTGGCAAGCTAGGAAGAGAAGATGTTGCAGATGAAGTCTGAACAAAGTCTGTTGTCAGAATTTGCTCTTGTTCTAAAGGGGTCATTTTTTTCTTCCATTAGGGCCTTTAACCAATGGATGAAGCCCACTCACATTATGGATGGCAATGTGTTTTACTTATTGTCCACTGATTTAAATATAAATCTCACCTAAAAACATTTTCACAAAAACATCCGGAATAATATTTGACCAAATATCTGTGCACTGTGGCCCAGCCAAATTGACACATAAAGTTATTCATCACAGTGGTACTAATGTCTGTCATCATTTCTGGGATGCAACATTATTTTTGATTCACTATCTTTGCTCAGGAAAGTGGTTGTTTCAGAGGCTTCCTCTTGGTCTTCCACGGTATGATGGTTCTTTCTCCACTAGCTAAGGATCTACATGGTAAGCCCCAAATCTAACAGGGTCCCATGATGACACTTTAAGTCTTCAAGTATCAATGTCAGCTCAGACAGTGTGTCCAAAGCCCTCTGTATGTGTTTATTCTTCTTTTCCCGGTGCATAGTCACATAAGTAAATGGGCACAGGTCCCTTTGGGGCAGGACTGTGGAAATCATTACAGTTTATACTTACGGTGTTGCATAGTGGTTCCTTAGGAGCAGCCGTCTCTCCATCACTGCATTATGGGTCTGAAAATCATCTCAGATGCAGGAACTGAAGAGTGAATTATGAATTTTTATTGGCACAACCACCTTTGTCCTGCTGCATCTCTGTTCTTGCCTGTTTCTGATGATAGATGGCAAATGGCAATCTCTTTGGCTGCCCTTCTATTTTTCCCCTGGAGACACCAGATTCTGTAAGTCATTTCCACAACTTCTTGTGGGTCATGCCCCTTAACAGCTATTCCAATGTTGCTGGCCATTACAGTCATGGCAGCCCTCTGACTTCTGGCAGTTAAGCATTGTTACCTGACCTCTACCTTCTTGCTATTGTCCCTATTGCTATTAATGAACCCAACTCTGTGACAGCTTCAGCTCTGGCCCACATGGACAGCCACCACTACACTTCTTATTGATGCTAGTGCCCCTCTCACCAATGCATTCCTGATGGCCTTGGAGAATAACGTGTTCTCTGAGCCTTGCTGTGGAACATAATGTGCAATGCTGTGGCTTTCTGGCCTTGCATTATGAATCCACTTCCAGCAACCTTTATATTTTTCTTCCTCTACCATTTGCCATTACAACTCTAGTATTTCCAGTTCACTCAGAGTAGGCCAGCACTGTCTCTAGGCTTCTGAGAGATATTATGCAGTGAGTTTGCCCCATCTTTGGGGGTAGAGATGAGGTTTTCCTTGCAATGATGTTAAACTCCTTGACCCAAGAAAGTGCTCCAGGTTAAGCAACCTCTCTGTCTCTCATACTTTGCCATTTTTTGTTTTATTATTTCTCAGTTTCTCATCCCTCTGCAGGAATCCATAAAACTTTGAAATAACCAGTCAGTAGCACAATTCTTGTAAACATCACTCTTCCTATATCTCCCAAGTGCCTAAATATTTACATTAGCAAAGCTGTTCCCCTCCATCAGGATGCACTCCCAAGCAGTATTCATTTCTCACATTCCACTTGGGATCAGATCCTCCTTGCCAGCCAGACATGAGTGAGCAGTCCCCAACTCTAATTTTACTGCCTGCTTTCGCAGGCTATTTTTTTCCAAGAGTGTCAGTTCACAGCCCCTAGCAGACACCAAGCTAAAATAATATGTGAAAACAATGTTTTGGTGAAAACATCTGTGAAAAATTAAGGGGAGAGGAGCAAGAGTAGGTGGGAAGAGATTTCAAACCACAAAGCAGGTGTGACACTTGTGAAAGAAAAGAGGGAAGGAGAAAAAATGGAGTAGGATGAGCTCCAGGCTGCAGTGGAGCTCTGAGAAGTCTTGACCAGGTGATTGGGAAGGCCTCTAGCAAAGATCGTCCATTAGAAGAAGCTTGTGTCTGAAATAGTTCAACAATAGTACCCGACTCGACCCAGGCATTGTCTGGGAGCAGTGTGGGGGAAAGGGAGGGAGGTCTGAGTATGAATGCTGCAGCTCTGGAGGGGTAGCCACTAGCTGGAGGCTGCTAGCCAACTACACTCAGACAGCATGCTCTTGAAGGGTACACCTACACAATCAGGAGTTTAAGTGGCAGGAGCAGTAAGAAATGAAGCCAAGACCAGGAGGCCAGGTGGAAAATGGAATGGGAGCCTGCAGAGGAGCATTGTAGGTAATAAGCAAGGGCATGTGCAAATTATACCTTTATTTACATGTGCATGGGTGTAGTGGATGGATTTAGTGTATGAGTGTATGGACAGGTTTAATGTTACAACAGGCATGAATGAATTCATGTGAGTACATGGACAGCCATGAGAAATGTGCATTGATAAGGAAGGAGACAAAAAAAAATCTCTAAAAAGCAGACACAAGAATAAAGAAAGCATAGCTTTATGGAGCCATTTAATATTAAGGGAAATCATCCGATAATCCTCAATATACCCAGAGGACAATCACTCTCTATTACTGGAATCATCACTAAAGGGCATTCAAGTTGAATGTCATCTATTTGGGGAGATAAATACGTACATCTTAATATATGTTATTTTAAAAGAGTTTCGACAAAATGAGTTTTAATGTCACATGCTTAAATGGTAAGTCCCTCCATTCTATACAAAATTTTTATAATTTAAAAAGACTTATTTCCCTGATCGATAGCTGTGTTATACTTTATTACCTTTCAAACATTCATGCTGCCTACTCCATTGCTTTTTCTATAATTTTATAGCTACCATTCTGCCAGTTTTATAAATTACATTTCTGATAGACAAGTGTATTATTCTCTTAGACTTCCACAATTCAGAAAGCAAGTGCCAAAAGAATTTAAACTTTAATGTCCAAAAGTACAATTCTTTTTGTGTCACTTAATACAAATCAAGATTCAAAGGAAATGTTTGTGGTTTGCATATTTGTAATTTTCATAATATCTTCCATAACTGTACAAATAAAAATAAATATAAATCTATATCAGAGTTAAGGCTTAAAATATTTTTAAGGTATGTTTAGATTATGACAAAAGAATAGTCTTGAATGACACTCTGTGGCTAAATTTAAACTAAGAAAAGTCATTTGTATTAAGTAGGATCATTAGTTGTAAGTACTTGGAGGCACTGTGTTTTATGGCATAAAGTTAGATATGAGGCCGTGATTGCAGTTAAATTTTGAGCAGCAGAAATTTCATTCCTCTGTTATCATCAGTACCACTGATACATCTTCCGCATCATTGTTACTATTACTATGTACTTATACATAAGTAATAATATTTATACTACTACTACTACTACTATAATCACATCTATGCTTTCACATTCCCCTTGGTGGCTTAAAATCTGAGTGCTTTAAGAAAAGTGGAGAATGTGGGGACAGACCTGGGTTTGAGTACTAAATTTGCCTCATACTTGTTGTATGACTTTAGGCAGTTTTCTTAACTTGATTATGTCAGGTGCCTTATTTATAATGTAGGGATAATAACACCCACTCCAAAGAGTAGTTGTGAGAACTAAACATATGTAAATCACCTACGAAGACTACAAATTTTAATTTCCTGCTAAACTCTCCCCACTACCAGAGGAAGATTCCCTCTGCGTCTGGAGAAAATTAGAATGTTTAAATTTTATTCCACTATTTTTTTTAATAGGTTGCTCTCCCCTACTCTGTCCCCTTCTAGAAACAGGCCTGTTTATTGATGTTGCTCTCATTCAAAGGCATCAGGAGCTTCCTAACTGCCAAATCCAGTTATAGTCATGCGCCGCCTAATGATGTTTCAGTCAACAATGAACCACGTATAGGATGGTGGTCCCGTAAGATTATAATGGAGCTGAAAAATTCCTACCACCTAGTGCTGTCCTAGCCATCATACAGTCATAACACAATGCATTACATATGTGTTTGTGGTGATGCTGGTGTAAATAAACATACTCCTCAAGGAGAGCCCCAGGCAGGTCCTTCAGGAGGCATTCCAGAAGAAGGCATTGCTGTCGCAGGAGATGACAACTCCGCACGTGTTATTGCCCTGAAGATCTTCCAATGGGACAAGATGTGGAGGCAGAAGACAGCAATGCTGATGATCCTGCTCTTGAGGAGGCCTAGGCTGTTGTGTGTGTTTGTGTTTTAAAAAACACTTAAGAAGTAGAATAAATAAATTTTAAATAGAAAAAAGCTTGAGAATAAGGATATGAAGAAATAATATTTTCGTACAGCTGTATAATGTGTTTGTGTTTTAAGCTATAAAAGAGTAAAGTTTAAAATTTTTAAAGTTTATAAAGTAAAACAGTTACAGTAAGCTGTTTATTATCAAAGAAATAAAATTTAAAAAATAAATTTAGCATAGCCAAGCATACAGTCGTTATAAAGTCTGCAGTGTACAGTCGTATACCAGGTCTTCCCATTCACTCACTCCCTTCACTCGCTCGCCCAGAGCTTCCAGTCTGGCAAGTTCCATTCATGGCAAGTATCCTATACAGGGGTACCATTTTCTTATCCTTTATATCATACACTTGCTGTATTTTTTTCTGTGTTTAGATGCACAAATACTTGCCATTGTGTTATAATAGCTTACAGTGTTCAATACGGTAACATGCTGTACAAGTTTGTAGCCTAGGGGCAACAGGCCATGCCATGTAGCTTAGGTGTGGAGTAGAGTGCACCATCTAGGTTTGTTTAAGTACATTTTGTGGTGTCTGCACAGCAGTGAAATTGCCTGATGATGCATTTCGCAGAACATGTCTTCCTCATGAAGATATGCATGACTGCATCTCCTTTATAGTCCTCATTCTATTTGTCCTGTCTGCTGCATGGATGTATTAACCACTCTCCTTGAAACCTTTTGCTTCCTTGGCTTCTTGAAGCCACTCTTTCTTTGTTCATTTCCTTTTTTCCCCTTTAATTTTGGGTTTTTAAAATAGTAGGTATGACACGGAATGCAAGGTCAGTAGCAGAAAGCAGTGAATGGTAAGTTGGTTCTGCTTGTGATCCAAGAAGGAAGTAAAAGACATTCAAGGTAAATACCGTGAAGACACAGAAGCCAAGGAGGTGATGTGCCAGAAGCTATCGTGGAAAGCTGGGGCCAAGGATTAGGAGCTGAACACCACTAAGGTAAGGGGAGACAGGAATGTAGGGAACAATACCTACGTAACCCAGCTAGTTTTGCCTGACATATTTTTCGTTTTTACCCGGCTCTCATTTTGTGGGCTGGGCACATAAATAATACAAGCAGAATCTTAACAGAAGTGCCAAATACTTTCCACTTTCGTTCCCTTTTGTCCTGTAACTTGGTCCCTATAGTCCTATTTACTGGACTTATCTTTCAATCTAAAGGACTTGTATTCCAGACTCATTTTTAAACTACCAAGTTTTCCTACAGTTTCTAAACTATCTTCTGGGTCTGTGGTTTTGCGTGTTTTTTGTTTTGTTTTGTTTTGGTGAGACAGGGTCATCTCACTCTGTCATCCAGGCTGGAATGCAGTGGTATGATCATTGCTTACTGCAGCCTCAACCTCCCAGGCTCAATCCTCCTGCCTCAGCCTCCTTAGTAGCTGGGACTATACGTATGGGCCACCATGCCTGGCTAATCTTTTGGGTCTTTTAAATCTATATGCCCTGCAGTATTTGAAGCTCAGTTGCCTTAATCAAGTTTGGAAACATTACTTCCTAAATGGCTACCTCTTTCAGTTGCATCACCACCTGTACAATCTTTTATATAAGAAAGCATAATATATCATTTTATTTGCTGACATCCAATACGTCATCAAGAGTTTTATTTTTTAAAAAATTTTTGTAGAGATAGATTCTCCCTTTGTTGCCTAGGCTGCTCTCAAACACCTGGCCTCAAGCAATCCTTCCATCTTGGCATTCCAAAGTGCTGGGATTACAGGCATGAGCCACTGTGCCTGGCCTAAGGTTTTTAAAAATATTTATTGTAATTGTTAATATTTCAACATGACTGTCTTTCATGTAGCCCTTGAGCTAAGCACTCTGCTATCCCTTTATATATAGTACCTCATCTTGGCTGGGAGCGGTGGCTCACACCTGTAATCCTAGCACTTTGGGAGACTGAGGCAGGCGGATGGCTTGAGCTCAGGAGTTTGAGGCCAGCCTAGATAACGTGGTGAAACCCCATCTCTACAGAAAATCAGCTGGGCGTAGTGGCACAGGTGTGTAGTCCCAGCTACTTGAGGGGCTGAAGCAGGAGGATCAGTTGAGCCCAGGAGATCAACGATGCAGTGGGCGGTGATAGCGCTAATGCACTCCAGCCTGAGTGACAAAGTGAGACTCTGTCTCAAAAATAAATAAATAGATAGATAGTACCTCATCTAATTTTCATAACAGCCTTAATGATTCGCCTTATAGGTTTTGTAATCATCTCTGTTTTAGAGATAAAGAGTCTAAGGCTCAGCATATTTAAAATAGTCTTTCATGCTTTAAATACTAGGTTGGTGCACAAGTGATTGTGGTTTTTGCCATTTAAAGTAATGGTAAAAACCACAATCACTTGTGCATCAACCTAATGGTTGTTCTAGTTACACAAAATGGAATTCAGGTGGTTTGACTCTCGATCCTGCTCTCTTGCCACCATATTCTGCTGTTTCTTTGCTCTCTGTGTTTCTTTCAGAAAAGTCTCAGATCCAGCTCCTCCTCTGGCTACAGTTACACAATGTTACATACCTAGGCTCCAAAAGCAGATGGATTTGCATTGGAACCCTAGGGCTCCTGTCTGCTGTGTGACTTTGAACAAGGCTCCTGACCCTCTCTGCCTTTGATTCCTCATTGGTAAATAGGTACATACTAGTGACATCACAGGTTGGTTATGAAGTCACATCACAGGTTTTAAATGAAATAATATAAAGAAAAAGGGAATGAATAAAAGCTTAGCTTAACCTACATAAAGCTCTATATACTTAATTGTTGTTACTCTTATTATTCTATGCCAGTATAAGCCCTCAAGTGTTTTCAATGTGTTTTAAAAGATTTCTAACTGGTCTCCCTAACATAAGACCCAATAAATTCATTGTCTTGATTGTCAGAATTATATTTTAAAAAACTAAATCTGATCATGTCACTTCCCTGCCCCAAAGCCTCTAATGTTCTTGTTCTCTATGTGACTGCCTTTTATGCCATACTGAAGTATCGACTTAAAATAGAATCAACTTCTTAAAACTGAAACGGCATCTTCTACCTTTCTCGTTTATTTCCTGCTACTCTCCCAGAAGTATAGTCTTCATAAACACCAAAACTATTCTTTCATAGACCTACCAGTCCCTTTGAAGCTGATGGGCCTCCTTCTGTTTCCTGTTTCAACACTTGCCCCATTTAATCTAGAAAATTCCTACTTGTCCTTAAGACCTAGGGATGGCTTCCTCTAAGTAAAAATTGAATGCCTCTCGGTGCTATGAAGAGTACTTTATTCACAGCATTTGTGACATGGAATTTACAATTACTGAATTGCAATTACTTTCCCTAGGGAACAGTCCATTTGTGAATAAAAATCAAATCTGGTGTGGTGTTGTACAGTGTCTAGTACATTATAGACATTCAATAAATATGCCAAATGAATAATGTGCATAATTTACAGTTTACAATGTTTTTTCACATACTTATTTTCATCATATTATCCTAACATATAAGCATAAGATAGTTTGATGCAAGAAGCTATTATTATTATTAAACTGAGACTTAGTAAACATTTCTGGCATTTTCCGCAATTGCAAATCTTTAAAAATACACAAAAATTCCCACCAATATTTTTTTTTAAAAGGCCAAAGCTAGTATAGGGCTCATATTTTAAGAACACAGTCATTATACAGATCATGATAATTACCTGTGGGTATTGGTAAATACATTGCAGCTTGATAATTGTACTCTACTTCAAGTTCAGATTAGAGTGTTCCTTTAGTATGCCATGGAAGTAGCTATTTAAAGAGTCAGGCTAAACCTGGAATGAGAGGAACTCTTTAGAATTCCAGTAGCATTCCAAAGTCTTTGCAGTTTCCATCCATTTATTTTATGTGGCAATAACAATTAATTGTTTAAAATTATTTTTAACTAGTAGATTCTGCCATATCCCCTAATTCCTTGAAAACAGTTGAGCAAATGTAACAAGATACTTCTTACTCAAAATCTAGGGCAGTGTTTATCAAAATGTGAGTAAGGACTCATTAGTGATATACAAAATCAACCGTGTCATCCAAGCAATTTAAAAATGGGATAGAATAGAATAGGAAATACTAGAATGTGCTACATGATGTAGGGGTATGATGTTTTGTGAAATCTTCATTTTGATTATGTGTGTGTTTACTGAATTGTGACAAAATATATTTCCCACTGTGGCAGATATTTCTCACTAGATTGGGTCAAAAAAGGTTGAAAGTCACTACCCTACACAACATAGCCATATTGCACAAGGAGTGGGATCAATTCCAAGTAGTCACTTAATAAAATTGGTTTAATAACTTGATAAAATTGTAATCATGTCCCCATTGGGGCCAAAGCTGTAATTACATTATTATAACCCCCAAAACATAATCAACACCTGATTCATTCACCGGACTTAACCTCAAATAACATTGAATTATTTCCAAAAATTAAACCCATCTCTAAGAGGTAAGTATTTGCTACCACAAAAACTAGCAGACGAATTTGCCATAGATTATAAAGTCAATACCAAAAAAGCCCTTTGGGGCTGGGCATGGTGGCTCATGCCTGTAATCCCAGCACATTGAGAGGCCGAGGCAGGAGGATCATGAGGTCAGGAGATTGGAGATTGAGATCATTCTGGCTAACATGGTGAAACTCCATTTCTACTAAAAATACAAAAAATTAGCTGGGCGTGGTGGCATGCATCTGTAGTCCCAGCTACTCAGGAGGCTGAGGCAGGAGAATAGCTTGAACCCAGGAGGTAGAGGTTGCAGTGAGCCAAGATCATGCCACTGTACTCCAGCCTGGGTGACAGAGCAAGACTCTGTCTCAGGAAAAATAAAATAAAATAAAAAAGGCATTTTGGAAAATGTTTTGAGCAAAAGCAATCACTAAAGTTAGTTTCAGATCACTGTTTGCATATTTATTATATTTAATTATAATCATTGCATAATTTGCTCTCAATGAGACTGAGCCCCTATTGTACAGGAGCATTTTTTTACTATCTGTATTCTTAGTGCCTTTATATAATCTAGCACAAAAGAGACATTTAATAAATGTTTGTCAAGGAGTTGGTATTCATTTGGATAAGTATATGTTCTGAAACATAATGAATGATGCAAGGTTACAGCCTATGCTAAGGCTATTCATGCTTCTTCTTCACTTCAAAGAAGGTACTTTCAAAGTCTCTCAGCTCTACAAAATAGGGTTTTATTGGAGTTTAAAATGTATACCTTTTAAAATCAAAGGAATACAATTTAAAAGCAAAATGATATATTCCTTTGATATTAGAATATCAGGGATGCAAGCAGAGAAATAAGTGCTCTCATACAATTGTGATAGGGAAAACTGAGGTAGTTTGGAAATACATATCAAAACTCTTTAAATATGCTTACTTTTTGAGGCAGAAATTTTGCTTCTAGTTCATTCTACAGAAAAATAATCTTCAAATATGTATAGAGGGTTATTAAACTTAGTGCTGTTTACAATAGATAAAAATGTCTAATGCTAGGAGATAAATGAATTTTCTAATTTTCTAATTCAATAGAATAACATGCAGCCATAAAAACCACAGTATTCAAATGTATTGGCATAGAAAGGGATTCAGAAGACATACTGTAAAAAGCAGGAAACAGCTGTAAACTACAGAATATTATTCAAAAACATTTTATGCAGTAATAGTCACAAAATAAATCATTTAAAAGTTAACAGTTCAGTGACTATTTAGTACATTCACATTATTGGACTACTGCCACCTCTGTCTAGTTCCAAAACTAGATTTTCATCATTCCATAAAGATATTTGCACCCATTAAGCAGTTGCTTCCCATTACCTCCTCCACCAGCCGCTGGTAATCACCAGTCTGTGTTCTGCTCTATGGATCTACCCATTCTGATATTTTATATGCATGGAATCGTACAATATATGACCTTTTGTCTCTGGCTTCTTTCATTTAATGCTTTGGAGGTTTGTCTACCATGTAAATGTCCTTAATTTTTTTTTATGGCTAAAAATATTTCATTGCATATATTTATAGCACAATTTGCTTATCTGTTCATCAATAAAATGGACATTTGGGTTGTTTCCACCCTTTGGTTATCAGGAATAGTGATTGTATAAACATGGGTGTACTGCAGAATATCATTCTCATGATATAAGTATTAGCAGACAAAACATTCAGGAACATTAGCAGCCATTATTTTTGTGTGGACGGATTACAGGTGAATTATTTTATGTTATTCAGAACATTGGACTTTGGAATTAATCAGACCAGATCCCATTTCCTCACTTGTAAAGTAAGGAAAACAAAACCTATGTAACTGAATTATCATGAAGAGTAAATAAATACGTATATCTAAAGCATTTAGAAATGTGTGGTTGGGGGAAACACATGGTGAGAACTCAACTTGTAGTATATATATTTTAAATCTTCTTTAAAAAATCTTGTTTTTTAAATTAGTGTTAAAGTTTTTTTGCTTTTTTTTTTTTTTTTTTTTTTTTTTTTTTTTTTTTTTTTTTTTTTTTTTTTTTTTTTTTGCGAGTGTACTTGTATGCTACACAATTAAGATGCATGATCCCCTTCGCTGATGGTCATTTGAGCTGGTGCCAAAGGCTGCTCCGATTTTTAATCTGATGACATCCGTTTGACTAAGTATAGTTCTACACTGTAACTCTCCCTTCCAAGTTTCAATTAAAATAATGTTCCTAACAGCGTATTCTCCAGCCACTCTGCTACAGCTCCTTTTCCATTCTAGTCTTTCTTTCAGCATAACTTTCTATGTTGCAGACGCAACGACCCAGGTTTTACATTTTAGGAATTGCATGACAGGGACAGAGGGACAGGTGAAGGGCACAGGCTTTCTCATACACAGCTAGAAAAACACATCACCAGCAGGTTTCACCAAATACATAAAATTTCCCCTACAATGTCCCTCTTTTACTCCCCAGAAAATTTCATTGTAAACTCAAAGTTTGCCAAATACGCTCATCTTGAGTGCAGCAGAAGGGTTACGGTCGGGAGCCCGCCCGGCTACGAGGAGGCACCCTCCTGCCTCCCCTCCAGCCCCACCCCGGGTGTGGGAAGCCCGAGTTCGCGCCTGCAGTCCCCGAGCCGCCCCAGCGCGGGAGTTTCGAGGGGAGCAGGGGGAGAGCTGCGGCGTCACGTGGGGGGCCACTCGGGGACAGGCGCCTGGGGCTGAGTCCCCCGGCGAAGCCACTGCGAAGGGGCCGCATCCCCTGGAGCCTGACCCTGGGCGTTCGCGAAGGCCTCACAGAGAGGGGGAGCTCGCCCGCCGGTCCGCGCCTGCACAGGTGTCCGGGTGGCGGCGCCCGGCCCCGCCTGCGGACCCGCGAGAGGCGGGCGGAGGCGCGTCTGTGCGCCGGGGCCGGGGGCCCGCGGGGGAGGTTCCGCGAGGTGGTTCTTGGGCTCCTCCTCGGCGCCTCAGGTTTCCTCTCTCCGCCAGCCGGCTGCTGGCTGCGGCGCCGCCTCTCCCTCCTCCCTCCTCCCTCCTCCCGCCGCCCCCCTTCCCCGCGGCTAGGCCCACTCTGCGGCCTCTGCCCGCCTCGCCCCTGCCCGGGCCTCCTCCTGCTTTCTCTCTCCGCTTCCCCTCGAACCTCCGAGGAGTCCGTAGCCCCGGGACGCCCGGGAAGATGGCGGCGGCGGCGGGAGACGGCGGCGGCGAGGGGGGCGCGGGTCTGGGCGGCGCGGCTGGGCCGGGGCCGGGGCCGGGACTGCGTGGGCCGGGCCCCTCAGCCGAGGCGCACGAGGGCGCCCTGGACCCCGCGCCCGCCGCGCTGCACCCTGAGGAGGTGGCCGCGCGGCTGCAGCGGATGCGGCGGGAGCTGAGCAACCGCAGGAAAATCCTGGTGAAAAACCTGCCCCAGGACAGCAACTGCCAGGTACGGGGTCGGCGCTGGGGGACGACGCGTCCCGGGGGACGGGCTGGGCGGCGCTCGGTG